CTTTTCAAATGCACATTAATTTCGTTATTACGCATCTCATTTTTAGCCTTTGGAGAGCGAAATGCATTTTTTGATTAAAAAATTTGACACTTTTATCAATTAATAATTACGTAAATTTTCAAGCTATAAGACTAACAGATTTTTGGACTTTAGTATAATGTGGAAGTGATGATTTTTACGCTAGTAATACAAAACATTTAAGCATGAAGTTATTTTTACCTTTAGTTAATTGACTAGGTAATATAAATTTTAAGATATAACATGTTTAACTGGGAAATGCATTTTGATTGTTAATAAAATTGAAAACAAAATAAAGTAATATAGAACTAATCCTATTTTTTGACTTTATTATTGCCTGGAATGATCGTACATATTTAATGCAAAATAACTCCCGAAATACTTACAGTCGTATTTCCACTTCAACGTTATTAAATCATATTGATAGTCATGTTCATACTGACTAAGTCGCATTTTAAATAAATAAATAATAACAATCATTATGATAGTCATTGTATTACGTTTTAAAGCAAGTGCGTATTGTATTTATCCTTGAACAAGCCAAATAGCCGTCAAGGGCTTGCCATAATCAATAGCTTAATCTAAGTACAAAGCCGCGAAATGGAAAAATAATTTCAGGATCATTGCATTTCTTTCTAAAAAAGCATGTAAGAGTTAACCTAATGTTATTATCTTTAGTAATATATCATGCTTTCTCAATAACATGTTCTTTTTAGATACTTTAATGTTACTATCTTTAACTATAAAATAAGAGAATCTCATCTAAATTTTATTACAAGAGCTGTTTGACTTAATTATTGTAATAAATAATTGGAAATTTAATCCAAACCCGAAAGTGCTACTGAGATCTCAAGGGGACATGACTGTGTTGCATTGTAATAAATTATGAAAAAAGTATAAAATACTTCGTCACCAGTCTGCAAAGGCATGACATTTAAATTTCACCTTTTGTAACACTGCTTTAAGATTTGGTTATATGTGTTTTATTATATGGCTGGTATATTTTCGAGAGTAAGGGTTATATAAAAGCAAGGTGAAAATATGATTTCAAGTTGCAAGGAATTCCATTTGTTTAAATAATCCTTTTCTAGACATAAATTTTAAATTATTCTCATGCGAAAAGTGTTAAACTGATCAGAAGGCATTCTTAAGATCAGGTTTACTCTCTAAAATATAATTCCTCTTTTCCATTCAAGTGACGAAAATTTGTTGTAAAATAAAGCCTATAACAATTTGTTGTTATAGGCTTTTTGCCTAAAGCAATTCCCTTGCAAAATCCATTTTGATGTTACGGGATTTTTGAGGGAAGCAATAAGGTTTCCAAAGCGCAGAAACGTTATTTTCTTTTCATTACCAATAGAAATAAAAGACAAAAGCTCTTTTAGAAAAGATTTAAATTTAACGGACCTGCATCACTTAGCAAGTTTACGTACCTAAATGATTATAATTACTTTTCGTAATAGAGTTGAATGAAGAACGTAGTATGATGAAATAAATGAATAGTATGATGTACTTGTCTAGAATTTTGATATGGATAACACTGCTTTTGACATTTTTATAAGGAACGAAATACTTAAAATATAATAGAAAACTTATGTGGCTTTAAAAATTATATTTTAGAAAGAATTGATGATTATTTCCAGAAAAATAGAAAATTTATTTAATAACAATTAACACTTACATACGGTAAATAGCAATTTTCAGCCATAGCTAATTTCATATTGTTAATCACGAACAAAATATAAAAGATAATTTTGAGCTTTTAAAGCAGTTTATTAAATGCATACACATAAATAACGTATAGCGGAGTTTTCGTTTTTCAGCTAAAGGGTTCACTGCACGAGTGATACTAGAGAGAAATGGAGTTTTTGCATTCCATTTCAGTTAGTTATGATTTAAAATTGCTCATCTTAATAACCTAATTAGGTTGCAACAGATATTTAGATGAGCAATTTGCAAATCCTAACTAACTAAAATCTTTAAAGAAAACGGAATTAAATGTATGGATGTTGCTTATAAAATGTTCTTTAAAACGGAATCGAAATTATATCTTTCATTGCACTATTACCTGAATCACATACCGGTAGGATGAAATGTTGACTTTTTTCTCAAAGTTTAATTTTTTTCGAATTCTTTTGCATTTCAGAAAGAACTGATTCCCATGCAAAGATATAAATTGTGAATGAGAAGTGATGCATTTGTTTCATAATTAGTTATTTGAAATTGAACCGTTTAAAATCTTTATGTAAATTGAATTTCACTATAGCAATAAACGTTTTGTCTGTGCGTCTTGTGTAATTCAAGAAATGCTATTATTGCAGTGTTTCTTAGCTTGCTCTAGTTATACATACCTACGGACTGAAACTAAGGCTCGTGGAAAATGAATTTAGCAGCTATACTTTGCGTATACTTAGAACAGGAAATATCAGCTAGTAAACTCGAAAGATAATGTAACAAAACTTTTTTTTTAATTATTTAAAAAAGTGGGGAAGAAATTTAGCGCCATGACTGTAATTTAAGAGCAGTTCCTTCCGTTCATCATCGCAACAGAGCATTACAGTTCAATATATTTTTTCAGTTCTTAATTCCGAAAAACTATCATCAGAGGAATGAAGAAATGTTTATTACATGAAGCAGTCAACTGAGATAATACTCATAAATACTAAATTCCATTTGGAATGTGATTTTGAACTGAACCTATGAAACAAAAAAAAAAAAAAAAAAAAAAAAACAGTAATTCCTTCATAATGGGAAAGGGTTTCCTCATACAATTATTTTATATGGTAAAATAATCCTCATCCCTCCTCCTCTATATTTTATAATTTTATAATTTTGTTTCAACAGTATTTTTGTGATTGATGACTACTTACGCTAATTTTTGAAGCAGTTTATAATTAAGTGTCCCTGAAGATAAGAAGTATTTAGCTGTGTAAAGGTAAATATCTTGCATGACGAGACGCCACATTGAAGACCTGATAATTATTTATATAATAATAGATCTCTTATTGACTTTTGAACTCTTTAATAATATTAATTTCTGTTTCGGCGTATTCAAAGTAAAATTTCGGTGAAATTTCCGTGAGCTGTATATTTGGCTTGCATATTTATATGGGAAGAATATTTATTGAAACACTAAATAATATATATATATATATATTTCAATAATTTCCTACATGTCTCATTTGAGAGACGATTAAAATGACTGAAGCAGAAGACATATGGAATCAACTATCGGCATAATACTCTTTTTAATGGTCGGGCGCTTTATTTAATAACCATTAGCCTTACAAATAATAACCATTAGCCACTACAAGGGTTGGAAGTGATGGCCATTTCTTTGTGGGAGCACTAATAGGTGGTCACTGTTGCCTCCTATAAAGGGACGGACAGTTATAACCACGCCTTCTCGGGGATTTGAACCCGCTCCCATCGCTACACGGCTGTTAGGGTCACTAATCACCTATAGTGACTGGGCAGCAAAACTATTGGCGTAATAGATGCCGTTAATTGCTACAGGTACAAACGAACTTGAATTTAAATTCTGTACTGTGATGCGTTTCATAACTCAGTGATTTTCTGCATTGAGATAATTTGTTTCAATCATTACAGCTAATGATAAAGTCGCTAACCACTGGTTGTTCGACTGTTGCTCAAATCCCGACCAACGGTCTGGCTTCATGGACAATTTCGTGGTTTTCCCCATGTGTATTGTAAATAAGAACCAGTTCCCTTTAGAATATTCCCTACGAAGGCACCCATCCCTACAGGCAGATAGCTCTCGCATAGTTTGCCGTATTTAGTAAATCCAGTCCAATTTAAACAGTGTAAATGTGTTCTTATTTGCAGTGAAAACAAATGATCGGTGTCGAACTATCTTAGTATGATTTTTAACTCATAAGTCATATTTATAAGGTAGGTCTGAATTTCAGAAAATAATTTTAATGAAAAGAGCAAGAACTTATATTCGTGCCAATGCGTATTTTAAACTGTACAGCTTATAATTTATATTCTGTTGCCTAAGAAACGAAAAATAACTTGACATATTTTTTATTTATTGCATAATTCCTTCTCAAAAAAGTAGCAAATATTAGAATTTGTATATCTTCGACTATAGTTTAAAGCGGAATGGAAATCTGAAGTTTAAGAAATTATGAAAAAAAAAAAAAAAAAAAAAAAAAAACTTTAAAATCCAGTAAACTTGAACGTAACTAGAAATTTAAACTTTCTTCTCAAATTATAATGTGCCATAATTTTCCATTTATATTTTGTATATTAAAAGATAACTAGCAAAAAGCTTTTAGTTTGAGAAAAGTGAAATTACATTTAAACTATAAAAGACGGATAAATAAATATGTGCTTGTCCTGCAGTTTGTTCCATATATGTAAAAGGTGTATCTTGTTATCTCTAAAATAATGTGGCATGCATAAGAGGAGTTTCATGAATTACATTTTGAGTTTAGTAGAATAGAATGTCGAACATTTTAAACTTAGATACGGAAAAAGGAATAATAATAACTAAGGAGAATTAACTAAAAGTTTAACACGTTACCTTCAAATTAATGAAAATAATATTAAAATTAAATTAGAAATGCTTGAAAAAGTTGTTAATCAAAGTGTCAGTAATTTTAATTAACATCCGAGCTTCTATTTACGAATAGAAAATCATTATCTGGCATGAAGAAAAAACTATTTGGAGCTGACAGAAACGAATTGATTTTCTTACAGATATGACCATATAAAAAATTGGTCAAGTATTCTGTGTCTTTTGGGGGCACTAAGTCCGAAATATCAATCAAAGAAACTAGATTTCTATTCACCCTAAAAGAACTAAAAAGATGATCGAGCAAGTGATAGTGAATGGACGACGAGAGTTCAAACACTCGTCTCTGATTGGTTCGTCTCTTGAGTAAGACACTCGGTGGCGCTAGAATCGCATTCTTCTCACTCTCGTGGTTGTTGCAAGGTGCCGAAGTATGCGCCGCTTTACTTTGGTTGCTGGTTTTTGCCGAAGCTGTCACGGCAAAATTTACTCCGTTGCACGAAAGCACAGGTTCCATTCCAGATAAACTCTTCGAATACAGCAACAGTAAAATGTGCAGAAATTTGAATTTTTAAAAAAAATAATGGAGCAATATAAACTTGCATAGAATAGGCTTTGTGTTGTATTTCTAAAACAGTTTTCTAAGTCTGAAATAACTTTTGCGCTGTTTCGAATAACTAACTTCCCCATAAAATTTTTATTCTTTTCAACTACAGAAACTTTAAGGTATTTAAGCAGTTCTGAATTACAGACTCATTTTCTTTTCTTTTTCGGACATCTGCTTTATAACAAACATTTTCAGTCCTCGAATTTTGATCCAAATTAAATAGGAAATTACATGAAAATTATTGCAACGGGATATTTCTTTTAAAATTGCGTAAAAAAGAAGCAGCTGGCATTATGTTTATATAAAAATGAAAAACTTTGTAAAACTTATGTATTGAGCACAGTTGAATGAACTTTTAATACGATTAATCATTCACCATGAAGACGAAAATTGGATTTTTATCTTTGCTATGCCATATTTTTTACATCCAAGGTAAGTATCTTTGTAAATGATTGATTATTTCTTTTATATAGTTTTCCATGTTTTAGATTCATTTTTAATCTCCAAATGCTATTCTTTGCCATCGGGAATTTGGTGACTTCGGATATCGGGAATAGGACCACAAAATTGAATTATATCTTCACAGCATTAGTTCTCGCATTCTTTAGTATAAATATATCTTATTCGTGTATTTTCGATTGTAGCCAGACAAATCTTTAAGATGCAGTAAGATTCCTTGCGAAAATAAGAAACAATAAAGCAAAAGTATGTAAAGAAAAATCGAAGCCATAAGATTACGAATAAAATAGTGTGATAATGTATGCCTCAACCCGCTCTTCAGAAGTATTACTGTAAGAACAAGCAGAGAGAATGCTGCATATTCTTCTAGTTTATACTACACTTCATATTCATTCGTAAATAAATACTCCATACTCGTTCTTTGGAACATTATTACCTTTGCTAGTCCTTCTCAGGACAATTTATTTATGTGGAAGATTTCCTGGATTTAATAAATAGAAACTTTGATTTTAACGTTAAAAATAAAATTCCCATATTTTAAGCAACTTAAGTATTAAAATATTTTAAAAGAAAATTTTTTGGAAAACGCTACTTTTGATTATCTAGGAAAAGCGTAGAGTGAGTACGAAGTATAAAAGCAATATTATTCGCAGCAGCAGATCACAAAACATATTAGAAAATGCCGTATCATAGTTCGATCTAGTAAATGATACCTGGTAGTTATTTCTAATTTCGAGCAGCTTAGCTCTGAACTGAAGTGTTTAGAACTTTTGAAGTTGATATTAAAAAGTGCGAATGGTAAGAAAAATGAAATTTGTTTGAAAAAATAACATAAATGAAAGAAAATCACTGAACGAATTAATTGAAAGCATTTAAAGGAGGGTGATCAGGTATTGTGAAGTGGCAAATACTTAAATCTATCACTTGTAATTAGATATTTTTATTCTTTTTTTGTTTCAGTGTAGGCATAAAATAAAGAAACAAATTAAAGAATTAATTCTCTATTAAATTCTAAAGCCTTTTTTTTTGTATCCCCCAGTTATAATTTTCTATTCTTTAATAACGGTAATATTTCCTGCAGTAATAAATACATAAAACTTTTTCCCGTTTTTTTCCTTAGCATAAAATATATAATGGCTATTGAAAATACAATAATATTCTGTAACATGGTTCAACGCCTAGCGAAAAAGGATGTTGTAAGATAAATATGTGATTTAAAGTTTGAGATCCTAATGGATTTGGAAGTTAAAATTTAAATTTCGAGACAAGATCTGTAACAGTGTCACTTACGGGGAAAAAAGGACCTTTCATTTTTTAGTTTGCAACAGTACTGTGTAATATGTTACTTGAACGTCAATATGGTTTGATTCCTTAGTTTGTAAACTTACTGAGTAAAATTTTATTTGTATAGGAGACACAACTTAAGTTCTAAGTAATAAATATATGATTTTGTTGTATCAACTTAGCGAATTTCCTCCTTGTTTTTCTGATGTTAATTTGATGCATTTCGTTGTAATTTTCCCTGCAAAACAGGTAAGTTCTTTTTCGATTAACTTTATTGTCGTTAAGGTATCAGACTATGTTGTAATCGTCAATTTCGGATGAATTTTTTTCAAAAAAGTTTTATTGCTTTATTTTAAAGCTTATAAACTAAGCTTTCCAAAACTACTTTTCTTTATTTTGTCTCTCCGGTATTTAGAAGCAAAATTATGGCTATTCTTGTTCTACGCCGCGAACAGGAAGTTTCTGCTTAAGAACCCCGAAGATGATGTCTAAAGTTACATAGACTACTAAATAACTTAAAAAAGAGATTTTTCATTTGAATACTTTTACTGATGTTCCAAAGATGATTTAACTTTCCTACTTATTATTAAGTGCTCGGGAACTAGATAAATTATTCAATTTAATTTCCATACTCGGCAACATTTTCTTTTTTTTCTATTTGTGTTTTCATTGTATTATACCTATTTTTTTGGAAATTTAGATTTTTTTCTATTACGAAGAAACAGTCAACATAAAATATTACTACAGTAATGTTATGAACCTTTCCAACAATATATTATGAAATATTGTCAATTAAATGACTAAATGTTTAGGTTTATGTATGCATCTAAAATGTTTTCAGATAATTTTGTAAATGAAAAGAAAGAAATTTCTCGAACTCAAACTGGTACATTTAAGAGACATTTTACTTTCTCGGTTGTCCATTTATTTCCTCGCGCCTTAATAAATATAAGTGACAAAAATAAAAGTATTGATAAATTGATAAATATTTTTGCGGGAATATATCAAGTAATCCTAAAATTCAACATGTTTTTAACACGCAATGTAAGAAAAAAATATTGCACTTTAATAACATGTTTATTACCTATTTCTATCATTTTAGTAGTACTCCGCTGAATAACATCAGTAATAAATTTACTTGTACTGTTTTGCAAAATATGGGTATCGAACGTAGTCAGATACCTTAAACGTAAGAAATATACTTCCAACAAATAATAATTTTCAAGTTAACACTATTTATGCATTTTAAAAACGTTATCTCGTAAGCGCTTTTATTTCTCTTTGCGACAAGGAACGTCTCTATCTTACTAATTAATGATGAAGTTACTCGATTATTATTACAAATGAAATTATACTATTTCTTGGGATTAATATTAATTTCTTAAAAGCAAGAATTGAAATATATCCTCAAATCCAAGCCTCAAATTAAATAAGCGTATTTAAAATGGCGTGTAGTATTAATAGAATATATTATATTCATATGGTATTTCCATTTAAATTGCATTGGGACAATTAATTTCATTCCATTGGAAGAGAGGAGAGAATTTGCGTTTTAATTCCATTTTAATAACAGTGAGATAAATTACCTGTTTGTGGATGACAAACTGGTTTGCCATTTTTTCTTTGGTTGTAATAGATTACACTTCATTAAAAAATTTACAATTTTTACTATTTTTATTGACTGTTTTACTGCATCGAATATAGGCTTATATATGGCTTAGAAATGTCTTGAACACTGCATCTCAGTTTATTTTGACTAAAGGCTTATACTATAAGAAAGAAGCAGATTCAAACATAAAAATTAAACTTCATAAAGCAAGTCAATAAATAGCTCTTTTTTAATATTTAGATTTGAATTAATTTGAATCTTACCTTGGCAAATATAGACCTAAATAATTATTTTCAGACTTCTGAGCTATTAATATATGTGATTAGTGGGAGCGACCGCGGTTTCAATAACAGTTTACTACTAACCTACCGAAATAATCGATTATTAGTTCTTTGATAGTCATTACTACCCTGAGAATAAATCGCTAGATATCAACTATAAACTGTCACAACTAAATAAATAGGAAATCAACTGGAAGAGCTTAACATAAAAGGTAGAAGTCCCATGATCTAAGGAATGCAACACCCTTATAATCATAGACAATGGATTAAAATTTTTCTGAGAAAATTTAAAGTTCCAGAATTAAGAATTTCATAGTATTCAAACACTAGTAACATCTACTCAAGGAAGTACGAATAGCAAAATCCGAAAGACTGAACTTGGAAGTAAATTTTAAATCTAAACCTGTAGCGAAGCAAAATGGTGTAGTGTTTTAACAATATTAGTAGAAAAATTTAAGAATTCGTAAGTAAAAGTAGAAAAATTGCGGCAGTATGCATTTCCAGTATGTAGCTGCTTGATTTTAATTTGAGGTAACACAGGTGGTATATGAATGACATAGAAATATTCATTTGTTGAACTAAGACTAAACATAATTAAGAAAATGACTCAGCGTAAGCACAATTCAAGAAATGTTCTAAGATTTAAACACAGTTTAATTCGTTTAGAATAGATTTAGTGTTCCTTTCTATTAAAGCGAGAGGATCTGTCAAGTAAAGAAATTTTTAAAAGTTGAATAATTAAGACTGAAATCATTAAATAAGCTACTTTTAAGAAATCGGTTTAGAAGAGATTAAATATGTTACAGCGTAACAGCGAACTTGAATGTTCTTCAGCATTTATTTAAATTACCTAATTGACATCTCTGGGGAAAATTCTTGTTAATTTATCGATTCAGTGAAATTAAATGGGAGCAAATAATGACCCTTTTCCGGATAAAAATAGGCTCAGTTGCGAGGAAACAAACACTAGGGGTACTAGGACAATTAAAACAGAGTTAAATGCAATACGACAAATCTCCTTCCAGAAAATTTCACTATAACTTAGAACAATGCGAATGGAGAGCTAGTGATACACGGTCTAAAATCGTTTTGTTATAAAACAGAGTGAGCTTGCTGCGAAATTTCTGCTTACTTTATAATGTACTATATACATTACATATACTATACTACTTTACATATAATTTATATATATTATACTTTATATACTAACTAACTATATATATATAGTTAGTATATATAAAATTCACATGCTTTTTACGTCCTTTTTCAAAATTGAATATATTGATATATAAAACATAATTCAGGTAAGAAAATTCTAAAAAAAAGTTTAAAAGAGAATACACCACAAAATTTTTGAAAACGTATGTCTTAAAATGTCTGGTATTCTATACAACAAAAATGAAGAAATAAATAAACCTTTTAGTGAAATAAGTTTCAAACTGAAAAGTATTGCACTCAATAATGATGCATTATATTTGCCTATGAGCCAAAATTTATAGTAAATTGCCATTTAATATTTAATGTAAAAAATAGGTTGCAGATTACTCACTCATTCAACTTTCTTGTAGGCCTTAAGAGATATGCCCAGTTAACGTAAGTTTTCATAACTGAATGCATAAAACCATAGCAAAGTGCATAAGGAAATATTTAGTCAAAAATACTAAGCTAAAAGTCGAGGATATAACCACGAATTTAATAGTCATAGAATAAGTAATTATGCAAACGAATTCAATAGTCACTGACTTTCTGAATCGCGGCTACGATTCGTCATATATGTTGGTCACTACTTAAGGCCGGAA